CCTGAAATGGTTATTCTTAAAGAATGGTTTTATGTTCCTGTTTAAAGTACCACCCAGAAATGTATTTACCATTATGGATATGAATGGGTCTGTCTCCTCAGAAAATGGTATTAACTAGTGGGGGAAGGAAGGGAGGTTCTCAGGAAATGACGGGAGTCTGAATGAAGAATCTCCTCAGTTGGAGAGCTAGCAATTGTGTAGCATAGAAACAGCAAGAGGAACCCTTTGGGCCTGAACACCAGTGACCCCACCAAGGGCTGGTTGCCTCCTTGGCCTAATAGATACCCTACCCCCAAGCCAACCAATGCTCTCCAAGACACATTTTCACTCAACACTCAACAATTTTTCCATAATATCTTTTAATACTAAAATGCATTAAATTTTTGAAGCAGAGAAAACACATTTAAAGGGGAAACAGAACCACCAGATAAAAGGAAACAATGTGGCAGATAATACCATTTAAAACATAACTGTAATAATTTAATAAAGCTGCTTTATCATCTTCATAAAATAGAGTGGTGATTCTTTTTTGTCTTTTTTTCTTTTTACAATGATTCAATCACTGTGAAAATGTACACAACATACAGATCAGCATATACAACAATTTCACCTTCATATAATCAGCAACAGAGACTTCTTAATGAGACATACTGTACTTGCATCCCTCTGTATTTCCACCCTGGTTTGACAGGTAAACAGTAATAGTGTCATCAGGCTCATTCCCCTCACTAGAGGAGCGAAGGCATAAGCCTTTTGCAACTAATACCTTAGCATTCAAATAGCACAAGGAGGTATTTGTTGCTGAATTTCTAGCTTGAGCTAGTCTGGCTCTTGGTCATTAAAGTCTGTATCCTAGCCTTCCTCAGCTGAACACCAGCCAGTGCCAGTAAAAATCTACTTAACCAGTCCTGCAATGGTGTCACCTGGTTTGTTTGCTAAGGTTGACAGCAACTTTCAATTAGTAACGAGGTCATCTTTAATTGCCAACACAGCTGGAGCACAATCAGCATCATCAGTTTTCCCTAATGACCTACAGTGCTTTCCAATCAAGATCAGGTTTTTGTGTGTTGTTCTTTACCAAGAGCACCTTACAATATATATTTCAGACAAGGTGGTTGATTTTCTTTTTTTTTACAAAAGCAATATGAGTTCTATTTGAAATTAATTCACTTTGCACAACAAGTGACCCACAGGCCAATTCCAGCCTCACAAGAAAACAAAAAGATCTGCAACAACTTCATTAGGACAATGTGTTTTGCTCTGGAATATTTCATTATCAATATAAAGCCACCCAGTCCCATCCCCACCCCCACACTTCCCCTTTGAATATTACTTTGTTACATACTTAAACTAAAGAACAACATCTCAATACACTTCAGTGTCAGCAGATACAATTTGATTCATGAAATGACATCCTTAAATGTAATTTTACTGAGAAGGCAAACACTAGGACTGTATACAATAGACTTCTTAACCTCATGTATGCCGGGTTTACAAAGTCAGTTAGGGTCTTATTACCCAGGGTAAAGAGCCAAGTGGACCAGACTTGTCAGGATGCTTGGGGAAACATTCGACACCAAAATGGTCCCCATAGAGTGAATTGAAATTCCAACCAGAACTGCTCTTATGTACAATAATAATCCTTTTCCCATCATAGATGTCCAATTGAGTTATTCTCTACACCCCTGCCTCTCCCCAAACTGCCCTTTATCCTTGCAGCCTCAAATGGACCACTTTTCTTTTGCTTATTAATGATATGATTGAGCTATATGAAAAGTTCAACTGAATTTCCATCATACAATCAGTTGTATGCTAAAGGAACACTATCAGGATGGTACTCTTGATGTTGCTAATTTTCAGAGTTCTAAGTTGTATTCCATTTAACATTTTTGATTCACGATCAGTGGATCACCTTGTCAACAAACTAGTTTAAATGAGCACCTTAGGTGCAATTAGCTCTATTAGGCAGGTTTACCATGGATCAGTGATACTTAAGGTGTTGTCCCTGGACCAGCAGCTTTGGCATCACATTGGAATTTTTCAATAGGCAAAGACTCAGGACCCATCCCAGACCTACTGAAACTCTAAGTGTGGGGCCCATCAACATGTACTCTCACAAGCCCTCAACCTTTCAGTGGGTATCTGATCCATATGAATTGCTAGGCCTCACTGCCAGAGCTTCTGCTTCAGTTGGTCTGGATGAGAACAGAGAATTACCATTTCTGACAAGTTCCCAAGTGATGTTGTTTCTGCTGGTTAAAGGACTACACTTTGAGAACAACTGCCCTTCAGGAACTGTGGGATAGCTTGGTTCATTACCTATTTGGGCAATAAGGTGGGCCATAATTTATTCTACTGGCTTTAAGAGGATCAAAGGGATGGTAAATTTCATCCTGAACAGTTTCAAAGATTAATCAGTTTTGAGAAAAGAAAAAAGAGATTCCACATAGCATGGTTCTCTTCTTCTTCCAATTACATGTATATAGCATATTCCCATATTTGGGGGAAAGCAATCAATGCAAAATAAAGCCTTTATATTGCATGAAGAAGTTTACCTGCCCAGGGATGTCCCCAGTACAGTTGCTAGAAAAGTAAGTCATGCCACACCAATTCCTTCCCAAAGGGGATATCAGAATAGATGGAATAGAACTCCCTAGGATTTAGGAACTGAAACTGCTCCCTCACATTTAAACGTGTAACATGTTTTGAGAGGGAAAAGAAAGAATATTTGGCCTTCTGTCCTTATGTGGCTTTTCATCAGACATGTTGAAAAGAAGAGGGGAAAAATATGAGCCAAAGGGAAATCTAGGATCTTTCACAAAATTCCTACTTGCAGGCATAGTCTATCTATAAAACCAGCTTACAAAGCCCTCCTAGGAAGCACTTGTGCTTCCTAGGAGCACATGTATACATGAGTATGTATACATCAGACAATTGAAAAGAAAAAAAGACACTTTCTTAATGAGGGGAATTATCTGATCATGCTCAAGAAAGGGTTTCGAAGCCAGAAAATCTCTGACTACCCACTGAGAAAAAAAAAAAGTATTTTAATAAGGAAACAGGATTGGTCTATGGTTCAAAACTGAAATCTGAAAAAAAAAAATGGAGGGGAGAAAAAAAGCAAAATCAGTGCCACTGCTACTCTATTTTAAACTTGGCTGGTAAGAGGCATGACAGCCAGTGGCCTCTCTGGCTCAACAGCCATCTAACGTTTAATACTCCCACTTGCCACAATCTTTTCATCTCCTTCATTCTTACTGAGCATAGTAGGAAATACACCTGTACAGAAACTGTCAAATCTGACTTAAAAGTGGCCTTGACGTGGTAGCTAACAACATCAGGATGGATCAGGTGAAGAACAGTCTAAATTCTATAGACAGGCATCATAACTTAAAGGGGAAAAATAAGTTTTAATGTGTTAATCAGTCACTTGAAAACACAAATAAATACCTAATTTAAAATCTGCTGAAATGAAATGAATCAAAGAGAGAAAAAAGTATATGAGAGATAATGAAATGAGTCTAAATGAAGATGCTAAAGTAATTGATCTCTAATTGTATCAGTTTCAGAGGGAAATTTGCAGCCACACCAATATTTTTCCATGAGGTAGTATTCAGCAGTGAATAAGAAATAAGGATTAATTTGTAGCTTCATTATACATTCTTTTTCAGAAATATTCTCCCCTACTTAGCCCCACCCCCTCTTCCATACCTACTACCCTCCCTCAAAACCCTCCCTCCCATAAAATAAAATATTCCTAGTAATGTATAAAGCCAGGAACTTAGAGAAAAATAACTAAAACATTTAAAAGAGCTCACTTATCTACTTAAACTTAAGAAAATAAATCCTTTTTTGCATTTTAGTGCTCTAACCTCTAAGCCTTTTTTCTGGGTATTCTTGAATTTCAAAAAATGAAACGAATGAGAACAGAACCACAAAACTTGTTTCTCTAGAAACAGTTTTTTTTAAGACCAAGGCAGAGCAAAGGTGATGTATTTATTTAGCTTTAAATAATGAACTCTTAGGCTGTGAGAATACTATGTTGGCTAGTAAATATTAATAGACAATAAATGGGGGAGTTAAGAAATGTTAAACAAAAAAAGAACATGCATAACAAACTTGTTAATAACAAAAGGTGTATTCCTAGCCTACAGCAAAGAGTTAGCTAAATTTAAGGAATTTTTATTTTAGTAGTTTCCTGTTTACATTTTTAACTTTAAAAAAAGTATTAGCCATAAAAAGAGGAGTTCAAGTGTCCAAGTGTATCCATTTAGAAGGCACAGTAATTGGATTTGTGATGCTGTTACTGGTTACCTACCTGTCTTTTCCTAAATGTACACTTTGTACTGCTTACTCCATTCCTATTTATAATCCTACAATATAGAGCAACATGGAGTTCTCAGTTATAGCCCCCAACATGCTTTGCAGTCTAATTCTAATCATGATTGGAAACACTGAATCAGGAAGTATGTGTCTGAAAAGATGTTAATTTAGATCTCAAAATAGATTCAGTCTTTTTGAGTTTTAGATGATTAGAGACAGGGAATTTCTAAGCCTGGAAACTGATAACTTCAGGAGCTTCTTTCCTATTCAGGTCCTGAAAATTTTAAAAATTGATCTCATAAAACTTTTAGGACAGTATTTCTACCAACTGCAAATTACATAGCAGAATATCCATGAATGACTTTCTATGACGATCTATCACTGATCTGGGCAGAAGACTGAAAGGCAGGAAAAATACTCTGCAAGGTAGTGAGAAATCACTACATGGGTATCCTCCATGAGTGAGTATCCTCCAAGTGTTCAATCTATATGTGTGGTGTTGCTCTTTCACTTGCCATCTCAGTTTTTTGCACTTTGTTTTTGTCTATAGTTTTATTTTTTTAAGAAAAAAAAACACCAACTTCTAAAAGCCTTTTGCCATCACCACATACATAGCAATTTGCAATATCAAATACAACAACAGCACAGCTAGCAAAAGAGTTCTTAAAGCAGGGGCGTCCATAGCAAAGTAGCGTAACTGGAAAGTACTCAAGCTTCAGAAACAACCTTTTGGGGACTCAATTTCACATCACTGAATCAAGGAATAGTACACAATAAATGACCATTAACTTGTCTACACTACAAAACAGTGGCAAGCTTATTAAAGATGTTCAGAGCTTTCTTTTTTCTTTTTTTTTTTTTTGCTTTTTTAAATGTAATCCTCCACAAACAATGGTAATTTATATTATGATTTTGACAGAAAAATATACAAATTCAAACACTTAATACATAATACTTTTCACAACTGAATTTGTCTCTGTTTCCCCAACATCAAGGCCCCATGAACAACTCAAACCAAAGCTAATTTGCTCCAACTGAACACCCCTGCTGCTTGTTGAAACAAGAGGGATTGTCAAAGAATGATAGTCACTTATAAACAATACATTTAGGGAAAGCTCTGAAATCACAGCCACTCAAGAACCAACCATTAGTGAGCAATTAAAACAATCAGCTCCTTCTTCTTCAATAACCAGTATGGATTCTCTCTCTTCTTCCCCTAGACTGCTTTAGAGAATGATATCCTTGAGACGCTTCATACCAGGAGATTCTTTGTCGCGACCCTCCTTCAGAGTGGGGTTGACCTCATGGATGACTTTCTCGCTGTCGGCTCCACGGGGCTCAGCTTCAGAGGGACGAGAAGGGCCATTGTTGACATACTGCTCCAGATCATGGCCCGGGGGCGCCAGGGTGTAAGACATGGAGGGCTTGGTGGGCAGAGGGCTCTTGAGGTGTAGGGGGGAGGTGACAGGGCTAATAGCCTCACAACCATTGCCCGCCTCCCGAATAGCGCCGTTGACCTTGGGGCTGCAGATGGTCACATCAACAGTTTTTCTGCCTTTCAGGGTGGGCCTCTCCTCAGCTGGGTGGTCACTGACATCTTTTCCAAAGGTTGCAAAAGTCCGCTTGGTGGGGCCGCAGTCGTCATAAGCCTCAACATCAGCAGCAGTAGCTTCAATGGACAGAGCTATGACATTCCTCACATTCTCAGGGGACTTGGACCTGGTGGGCATGGGGTTCCGGGGCATCCAGCACCTGTCAGAGTGGCCAAGAATCCTGCATTCTTCCCTGCAATGAAATCCTTCATTCTGATCTGTTTGGAGAAAATAAAATGTCAATTTCATCAGCTTTTCCCAGGAATCATTGTTACACCCCAGTGTTCTGGTTTCTTAGGTACCCACAGGCCCTTCTGGGAAATGGCACTTCTAGATAGTCCTTTATTGCCTTCTCGGGACAAGTGTGAATTGGATTTTTAAAAGGCTGTAGATCTTCCCCTGTACACTCATGTCTTTTATTATTAGTTTTGTTGTTCCCATTGCTGAAAAAAACTAAAAACCTAAAGGTAAACATGTTATGATGAAAAAATGTATTTAAAAAAAAGTTTAGGTGCACCTGGGCGGCTCAGTTCGGTTAAGTGTGTGACTTCAGCTCAGATCATGATCTTGAAGTTCGTTAGTTCAAGCCCCACATTGGGCTCTCTGCTGTCAGTGCAGAGCCTGCTTTGGATCCTCTCCCTCTCTCTGTCCCTCCCCTTCTCACACTTTCTCATTCTTTCTCAAAAATAAATAAACATTTAAAAAATAAAACATAAAAAAGTTTATCCGGAGTGTCAAGGGGCTGAGAGTCAGCATTTTTATCAACAACTCCAGCTAAAAATCCACTGCATTTGAAACTAGTTACAGCAGAAGAGGGAGTGGAGGAAGAGTAGGAAATCCAACAATCAGTATATCTGACAAATCTTGGCCATATTTTGAACAACAGCACTGCTAACCATATTTCCACCCTACTTGTCAATGATATGCCATGCTTAATTTTAGATTGGTATCATGCTGTCTTTGAAAACCCAATCATTTCACTTCTTTTTGACCATCAGTTCTGCCAGCCAATCTTCTCACTAAGCCATTTATATGACTTGATTTCCCATTAGAAGGAATATACTGATATATTTTCCTTCCATTTGACCCATAAGCTTCAATTGACCTTGTCTACACATCACTCATAGGTTGAACATCATTTAATTATATTCAACTAGCCATCTTTCCTTATCTGTCTTATCTGAAGTTTTATTAGGGTCGTATTTCTTAAAATAAAGAAATCTTTTATGGATTACTTTAACCCTATCATAGAATATCTCAGCAGTTAGAATTCAGAATTTTTGGTGAGACTTTTTTTCTCTCTTCTCAAGTCAGGTTCATTCAGAGTTAAGGCTTTAATTTGACTCTTAGAGAAGCTTTCTACATGGATTTCATCAAACCATAGACCCAGGGTTAATTTCTGCCTGTTCATTGGGAAATTGTTCATCTTAATGTCTGGTTTATAGCCTTAACTTTCCAGATCCATTTTTACTTATGTTACATTCTTGTATGATGATGACCTAATGAAAATTTTCATCACATTGTACAATGCATCAAAATATGAGCAGTTTAACATTCACAGAAAACCTTGGGGTATAATCAGAGGAGATGGGGAGACAAGGAGAAGTTGAAAAGACCAAGAAAAACATGCCAAAAAAAGCTGAAAATATATTGCTGTGATTGCTTTTTGTTGGGGGAAGAAATCAGAAATTCAGGGCTTTGCCTGATATTAGTCTGTATATAACACATCTTTCTTATACAGTTGTATTTATTGTTTGCTTCTTATTTTAAAAAATGGCATAGGAAAGAGGCAATGCTCTGACTCCTTTGTTAAAGGCTATCTTGGTAAAGGGGCACATACATATGAGAGGGGGATCGAGAAATAATGGTTGAATTGGATGTATGCCTCATCATTTGGAGAAAAAGCATTGGAAACAGCTAAACATCAAGGCCTAATCCAGGCTGAGTCCAGATTTCAACACAGCTCTGGGAGTGGCCTTTGACCTAGTTTAAACTACTGAAAAACCAATCAGAGCTAAGACCCTTTCAGTGTACTGGGACACAATTTGCCAGTTTATCTTTAAGATGGACATTTTATGCTCCCTTTAAGTGTGAAAAAGAAAATGCAGACCAGATGTGAATAAAGCAAAGCAACTACTTCTGGAATTGCATAGGACTGGTAGAGACTATGGGCTTGCCACCATGTAGTATTGTGGCTAGGGATGGAGGTATGAGAGTAGAGAGGAATCATTTTATATGATTCAAATTAACTGCCAAGATGCTGGCTCCAGCTGAAACAGAGGTCAGCTAACAATTCAGTAATTCCTTAAGATTCCTCTTATGTGCCTGTTTGTGACTCTATATCTTGTTACATCTTGACCTGAGCATAGGCAAAGCAAAATGTAAAACTCTAAAATCCACACATATTTGTGGATATTCAAACACATTGTCATGTACAGATAAATGAAGGTAGGTATCTTTAATTCAAATGTAAACATAATTAGGGATGAATTATAAATTTTCAAATTGGTCTTCCCTGATTCTGAACTTGTCCCTAATATTTGGAAAGATAAATAAATAAATGAAATGCATAAGTTTGGAACAGGGACACAAATCTCAAGGCCACTCCTTAAATCAGATTTCGACAAAAAAAATTTTTTTTAAATATGGAGAAAAAATAAAGCTTATTTAATGTAGGTGGTAATATATATTTGTTTGGTCACAATATTTCATGAAGGAACTTGGTGAGAGAAACCTAAAACCTCTGGCAACAACTTATATCTTAAATAGAAGGCATAAGAGGCAGCAATGATTAAGTCATGATGGATAAGGAAGTACTTCAAATAGGAAAAGAAGAGAATTTGTTATTTTGTGCAAATGTTAGCAAAACTTTTTGCAGTGATTACTACCCTCCTCAGGAGTTAAACTGCTGTCTCTTCAGATGTAGGCAAACAATGTGCTTCCACACTAGAAAGAGCCTACCCATGGTCCCAACCAAAGCAAAAAAGGAAAATGATGAAAATACCATCTCAGGCTTTGCTAAAACTTTCAAAGTTCTGGTGGAATAGAAGAGCTGAGAGGCTCTGTTGGGTTTATATACATGTCCAGCCACCATGGATGTTTTTAATACTGCTGCAGTTCTTTATTGTGATTCAGACTTTAGGTGTATCAACTGAAAGATTCCAATGATCAGAGACAAAATTCTAACACTAAAATAATTCAAGGTAACAGTTACAACAGCAATGTGTTACCCTCCTCGGAAGTGATCTGCAATCAATGAGGCAGAAAGGGAAAGTTAAAGTGAGTTATAGTTCCTAAGAGCTCAAGTAGTTACTTCTAAGTAGAAGTAGTAATATAACCTGCAAGCAAGTAATGTGGAAATCAGAAAGGTTTCCTGGATTGTACTCATATACATCCACTTAGCTTAATCTGCATCACTCCCTGAACAAAATAACCTATGACCAAAATTAGAAAAGCTCCCTGGATTGTGCTTACAAACATCCATTTAGCTTAATCTGTATCACTCCATGAACAAAATAATCTACTACCATAGCAGGGACAATTTTGTAAGATATAATGAAAGGGATGGTAGTACCAATTATGAACAGGTTAAGTGTTGCTAAAATTTGTTGTATGCACCTAATCAAGAAAACATAACTGTTAGGAAGTATCCCCTTCTTGACTTAACTAGTTCCTACTCATCTGAAGCACACATAATGAATTGCCCACCAAATATCCATACCTATATTTAATATTTAGGAAAAGAACCCCACTTTTGTTAGTATTTGTAATGTACCAGCTAAAAAAAAACCCTGCATTTCCTGGCTTCCCTTGTAGATAGATGTGGCCACATAATTAATATTGGACCAATGTTATGAAGGCAAAATATCAAGAAAACTCCTTAAAAGTAGGAGGGGGTGATGTAACTGGGAGACCCTGTTGTCTTTATTCCTTCCTGCTTTGTCCTGTCTGGAATGGAGACATAAAGGCTGGGCCTATAGCATCCATCTTACTATCATGAAGCAACTCTGAGGATGGAAGTCACGTGCCTATGGATAGCAGAATAGAAAGATACAACAACTCTGGGATATTGAAGATATTGTAGATCCATCTCACTAGTTCATATATGAACTTCTTTCATATAAGAGAAAAAAATAAGCCTCCCTCTTGGCTAAGACACTGAGTTATTTTCTTTAGAGAGAGAGGGGGGTCCTTATTACCAGCAGTTGAGCACTATTTATAACTGATACATTACCCATGTAATATATTTTAAATTTAATTTAAATTTAACTTTCTCAAGGAATCCTTGCCTGATTCATTAGACTAAGGTACATTGCATACCACTTTCTTTTATAGCACTCATTACAGCTATTTAATATCTATATTCAAATGTTAGCTTGGAAACTCTAAATGAGCAAAGATTATATCTATTTTGTTCCCTCCCATACCCACAGAAGGTATCAAAGGGTCCAACATAGAGCAGGTACTCAGTAACAGTTTAACTTAAATGGATGAAAAAGGCACAAGAGTGATAGCAATAAAACAAAGAATATTGATCAACACACCAGACACTGTGCTACTGATAGAACTCCTAAAAGTGGAAATTACTATTCTATTTAGTAGAAACACTATGAAAACATACAAAGAAAACTATGCAGCTGTATCAGAAACAATAAAGTAAATTTATCACTTGAGAAACATTAAGGTCAAGTCTCATTTAGTCTCTGAATGGCTTCCTATATACTATAAACAGGTCTTAAAGGGATGTATCATGCTTTGATGTCCAGTTGAAGATACATTTGTCATGTACCTTGGAGTTTTCAATTCTAACAATAGTTAATGGGGTCTATACTCTGCTAAGTTAACAACACAATAAGCAGAAGCATCAATTTTATGAAATGAATGTCCTGTTGAAATATCAAGCATTGTTTCTTGGCATCAAACACAACTGTTGTTAATTCCTATAAAATATAAACCAAAAATGGGACCTATAGTGAGCCTTTTAAACCAACTGCAGATACTGGCTCCTCTGGAAAAACTAATTAAAATATGTATGGCAAAAATTAATGCTCTATATATGCCATGGAATTACCAAAGTAAATAATTATCCTGGAAAGAGTTCTTAAAAGCATTTTAAGGCCTGCAGAGTTCAGGAGAAAGAATATCCATCCTGTATCTGTAACTTAACAGAATACCAATGGGCTCAGTGAAAAGGAGAAGAAAGACAGGAAGGAGAGAG